GCTACGGGGCTGGTGATGGGTGACCGGAGCAAGGAAAAGGAATGAAACGTGACTTAGTGTGAGTGGCGGTACGGGCATATTTTTCGGCGCTTCAGATAATTTTCTTTCCCCCTCCCCCAGTTTTGCTGGAAATATGAACATTGTAAGATTGCCCAACAATATTAATTTCTCCGATTGGTCTCTCTGTCTTTTCAAGGCCACTGGCCACTTAAACACAATGCATTTAACAAACGTTTTACATTTGTAATAAATTACTGAAAATTTAAATGAAAACTACAAGTACATTAGAAACGTTACCCGTTAATGCTGTGATTTTATAAATTATGATTTTATTTCCGGTCTGCTATGGGAAAACTTACACCCCTTAAAATGTTACCTTTCCCCTCACTTCCCCCTTCCAGATTTCAGACGCTGGCGCCGTCACTGCTTAATGTGTTAAGCAGAGCTAGGAATCAATAAGAATAAACCTGTCGCATGATTGATGAAATATAATAAACCGAGACACATAAGCGAACACATGTCATTAAATTTATCTTTAATATAAGCATTTCCGTAATAATGATCAAAAATGAAAATTATAAACCAATTTTGGCATACTTTTATAACAATTAAGAAAATAGTAATTTTGATTCCATTGCTTGCTTTGCATACAAATTCAATGAAAGTTGCATAATGAGTCAGTCCCATTTACTCTCATTTTCTTTATCATTTTCTTATACTTTTCTTCAAATAATATACACGTCTGTTTGCGTTGTTGGCTTTCTGTTCAGCGTTGGGACATTGTGCAAAGTTGTTACAGGTGAGGCTCGACGTCGTTTACGGGTCAGCTTACTTCCAACTCTGAATATTTATTTTTTAACTATCGGTGAATTTCCATTCGATTTATAATCAGGCGGGTACTGGGTATGGACAACACGATTTCCTGCTCCAAGTAAGTTTCGATTTTCTGCAAATCCCCTTTGTTCTTTATTATCCAGTAGAGGCAGTGTTGAGAATATGTTTAGAAATGTCAGACCACAGACATCCGTGCATTTTCTCCATTTCCGTTCTTTCCTTATTTTCTTTTCTTTTCTGTCTGTTTTTTAGTCCATTGAAAATTTACATTTTTTTTTAGTTTTGTGTTGCAAAGCAACTCAAATTTTGTTTGCCTTTTAATAGAACCAATATTTTACGCATTGTATTTGTAAAGTAAAACTGGTCCCATCGAATCCGCTTCAGACAACCTGAGAAAGCACAAGTGCATAACGCCAGATACTAGGATACCAAAGGTGAGTAAAGCCATATTTCTTTTTTAATTTTGAAGGTTGTAAACATTAATTTGGTTGTAAATGATAAACATACCAGTCAAAATTAAAAGAATTCTTGCTCACGACAAACTTAATTGTTCCTAATATTTCTAATTCACTGAATTCGTAAGTTAATATTTGTTCCTTAGTTTATTCTTCATTAAAATGATTTATTATTTCTTTATAAGAAAATAAATTCGAAATTCTTAGTATAGGCCTATAACAATTTTGTAATCCATTATTAAAACTATTCTTCATTGCATAATGATAATAACAATACATTTCAATAATCAGTGCTGCAAGATGTTATCTAATTTCTGGTTATCCCAGTATTTTCTCTCTGTTTAAACAACAGTGGGTTGGGAGTACCTTTGTGTTTCTCCCACCCCCAAGCTACCCGAGACCAATTTTCAAAAGCTGAGCGCAGACAGTTTTGTGAATTATTCATGGTTTTGGAAGGTAAAGCTGATCTCCCAAGGACTCCGAAAGTGTAGGAGTACGGTTTAACAAGAGGTGTAGAAATGTTAAAGCATCCCCTTACTACACTGTTTACATTCACCAATAAAATTAGTTTATCTTATTTTCTCCTTCGTCTGGTGTTTTTGGCAAATAAGAAAACAATTTTGTTAATTTGTTTTCGCCCTCCTCTGACTATCTTTAAACAAGGTATTAAAAAATCACATCGTATGTTATTATCCTTTTTAACTTTCTTTTGAAGTAAATTTTCAGTTCCTAACTTAGATATATATTTCTTGATAGAGTAGGCTACCCTTTGCAGGGATCCTATAACCGGAGAAAAATCCTGTCTACCTGAAATTGATGGGTGACCGGAACGAAGAATTGATTCTGGTTCTGGTTCTAGTGGGTAAAGATCTACTTGCAAAGGACTCCAACGGTCCACCACCGCAGTTTATTACGCGTAGCATTAGTCATAAGCAGGCTTGCATTACCGCTTCAAGCCGCATTGGACCTGATAGGTAGGAAACTCACAATCACTCGAGCATCGACTTTGCGAGGAAAACCACATTTGGTAGTGAAATCTGGAAGCGTTTTAGAGGTAGTAGAGTAAGCGACAACGACACCTCCAAGAAAGGAGGCGAGAAAGTTACGATGTTAGGGTAAAACGCGTTAAGATACAATAAATTAAGGAACATCATAAACCTTTTGAAATATTGTATAGGCCTATTCTGTGTTTACGCAATTATCCGGATAGGCGCAAGTAATTTTCCAGCCTATTGACGCGTGGTTAAACGGGTCCTGGCACTATATATAATTTAGACCACCTAACTTAGTTTCTTTAAAACACAGCTACTTTAACACGGGCTTTAACATCTCTAGAATTAACCGATTGTTTAGGGTTTCTGAAATGGCTTCAACGTGCACTTTTCCAGTTTTACTAAATTTCGCTGATAATGCCGCCGTTTTGACTAAATAGTAGTACATACATTATTTTTTTAGTATAATATGCAAATATTTGAATTACATATTTCAAAACCAAAATCATTAATTAATTTATTTATTTTATTTATTTCAACAATATTTTGTGAGGTGGTCCATCCAGGCTGAGCTGATCAATTGGAACCCTCAGTACATACAAATAGAACATAAGTATAAAAATTAAATTTGGTCTTTAACATAAACAAATTAATTAAATTAAAGCAGGAAAAAAATTAATAAAAATGAAAATACTAAAAATCAGAAAAAAGCTTATAGGCCTATAGGTCTACAGTATATAAATTATATAAAATAATGATTTAAGGAAAACATTAAATCAAAAAAAAAAACTAAAATTATTTACAATACAAAACAGAACGAAATCAAGATTAAAAATATTGCAACAAAAAGAGATGGCAACAGGGAAAAATTACACAAGATTGGATGAAAGATAACTAAGAAGGTTGGATTTTAAAAAGAAGAGAAAGTAGAACGGACAATCGGTGGAAGAGAGTTGTAGATGTAAGGAGTATTATTCTAGATTAGGCTTAGGAATGAGAAGATCATCTTTAGTGATTTTTCTCAAGTTTATCAACGTCAGTAGTCGTCTTCATAATGTACAGTACAAGTAAAATAGTCAACAAAATCTGTTTGATTTATTTGATTTACGGGGTAAATTTAACATTAGATGAGGGAAGATAGGCAAAAACTGGGTGGCGTTGCATACAGCAACAGTGCGTTTTCGTGTATCTGTTGCAAAATATTAAAATTTATTATGAATTATAATAATCGATAATCGATGGAGAGATAATTTCACCTTCACACTACAATTTAGCGAAAAGGTCCGGTGTGACCTTATTTAGTTAAATTTAGTGAGGTCCTATAGTAAAACTTAACTTCCGAATTGCCAAATATTACTGATCATTAAGAATCATTATCATACAGACCACGGGCTCGTAATGTTGACGTGTACTCTACTGCAGGCAATTTTGGGTCTTAATGTAGTGCTGTCGTGAAGGTGGCGAGGTTTGGCTGATCAACTGTGGTTTGGAGCAGTTTGTTCCATTCTACTGAAGTTTTAATAATAATAAAAAAAAAAAAGGAGTTTGCGAATTCCTCTTTATTTAGCATAGTGCTTCACTGTGTCCTCTCGCGGGTCGACATGTTGTTTCTCTCTTACGTAGAATTTTATGATCCACATTGCTAATTTTGAATAGTGTAGCTAGCCTTTGTATCTTCCTTTAAATTTGTAGGGGTTTCCAGCTGAGGTCCTTGAGCATTTGAGATACACTTGCGTCCCTTTTGTAGAAGCGTTGAACAAATCGGGCACAAAAGGTGAGTATATTTAAACAGTTGGTTGTAAATTATAAAACACACCGGTTAAAAGTAAAATGATTCTTACTCTTTAAACTTAATTCCTCGTAAGTATTATTCAATGAATTCTTCATATTTAGTATTAGTTCATTAGTTTATTCTTCATTATATAATTTATTATTTGTTTATAATACGAAAACAAATGAGATCTCAGTAGATAAACAAAACTTCGAAATGTTAACCTACTCGTTTTTATAACTATTCTTCATTACATGATGTTAATAACAATATATTACTGTAATTAGTGCTTAAAGATGTTAATTAATGTGTGATAATCCCAGTATTTTCTATCTGTATAGTGGGTTGGGAGAACATCTGATTTTTTAAGCCGTTCTGTATTCCCCTCTCTCCACCACCCAAGCTTCCTGAGACCAATGATAATTCGTTATTATTGCAATTCGTTTGTACGGAATGCTAATCCGTTTGTACTTATTACTAATTCTTTCGTACTGATTACTAATTCGTTTGTACGGATTACAATGCGTTCGGTTATTAGGTCGTTCTTACTGATTACTAACCCGTTTGTGGGATTACTAATTCGTTTGTACGGATTGCTAATCCGTTTTTACCGATTACTAATTCGTTCGTACTTATTACTAATTCGTTTGTACCGATTACAATTCGTTCGAAAGTGTTGCGGTACTAATTCGTTCGTACGGATTACTATTAGTTTGTACGGATTACTAATTAGTTTGTACGGATTACTAATTAGTTTGTACGGATTACTAATTCATAGTCCGGATTGATAATCCGTACGAACGGATTACTACTTAATTGGCACTGGGCTTTCGTGTAGTAATTGGCTGGTCTAGCTAGGAAGGAGTGGGATGTACGTCCTTTTCGCTACCCCCTGGATCCACCACTTAGAATCGCTCACCCGACCGGCGACTGTCGCCGACAGGTGTCAGGATAACCAGGTGCAACATTGCCAATTGCGTTTGCAGACGAATCGGGTGCATCCTGATTCGTTTGAAACGCAATCTGCAAAGTTGAACCAGATTCAACCTTGCCAACAGCCGTCGGTGACTGTCGCCGATAGGCTGAGCGACTATGTGGAAACCGAGCTTTACAGCAATACCGTAGTCGATGTATGTCGAAGTAACATAAATTAATTTCAAACAACGTTTTTCTTATACAGAATTCTTGTGTTTTGTCACCTCTTTTAGCAAGTACCTCTACCTTCCAAGACATATTCGATACTAGAATCAACTTCACCAAACAGTATATCAATTGCTGTCTGAGAACATTTAAATTAAACAAGTTTGTTTGCTCATCTGGTTGACGCACAAAAAATATAACATGAATGACACCGACATGACGGATATAAACACTTATTCTAGTTCTTTCGATTATGGTTATCTTTATTCAAATACGAACTTCGTCAGAGCCGGAATGGCTAGTGCCTATTTAACGATAATAATTTGCGTTGCAGCCATTTTTGAAAACGCATTCGTAATCTTCACTGTCTGTTGCGTCCCGAACCTAAGGAAAAAGTCAAGTGTTTTGATAGTTAATCTTGCAGTCGTCGATTTGATAAGTGGGTGTCTTAACTTCACTATTATAGTTCTGGTCCTATCAACTATCGAGTACATTGAGAATGCAATTTATATTTTAATTTTAACGTTGATCATAATGTTGTGGTCTTTAATTTTTGTTCTTGCTGCGAGTTTGGAACGCATTTTAGCTGTCGCTGCTCCAGTTAGATATGGTCAGATTATAAGTAAATGTAGATTAACCATCATATCAATATTACTGTGGTTATTACCGTTTTCTTTAGTTGCATTACCTGCTATTTTCGAACGCGATGTCGTGTATATATACATACATTTTGCATTGACGCTAGCGTGGTACTCGTGTATATTTTAATTTTCGTTATTTTGAAACGCAAATCCAATAGACACGAAGTTGGGGGTATCTCCGGAGCTGCTCGACAAACCCGATTGCGGTCCCTCTTCTTTACATTTGGGATTTTAGTCTGTTCATTGACCCTTTGTTTATTACCAATACAATTAATAACGATATGTTATTTACATAGCTGGGTATCGGATGAGTTGGTTAAAAAAATGTCCGCAATTATGTTACCGCTTCTGATGCTGAATTCAGCACTAAATCCAATTATATATTGGTGGCGTATTCCGACATTTAGAGAAGGTTACAAGAGTCTAGCACGTTGCCATTGGCACCAGAGGGGCGATCAAAGTAAACCTCAAAGGGGTACGATCAAAGCCAAACCAAAGGAACGTCCAAATACAGAAGAAAACTGTATTGCATAGAATATTCCCCAGGACACATTCACACCGGTTGCTAACACTAATAGATTTAAGGCTATAAACGGTATATTTTGAGAAAAACAAAAACAAAAACAAAAACAAAAAATACGGTATATTTTAAAACAAATAATAGTAATAGTACTGTAATAATATTTTTTACAGTAAGTGGCTCTTGTATAGGCCTGCAATGATAGTGTGCATGCTTTTCATAGTTTTAAGATTTTGTTCTGAGCGGGAAGTTTTGCGCTGTATTGAAGTCAATTATACAATATTTTGAAAGTGCTAACTTGTAATGGTCAAAATTTATAAATAAAAATAATTCATTTGAGAAAAACGTATTGTCCCCATCCCAAGCGAGATTGTGAAAAAATGCTCCAACTGGGATTCGAACCAAAGCCTTCTTCTGTCATGAAGCACCGGCGGATTTCACTTTTCACGGTTTAAAATTTGTATACAAGTCGCCCTCTAATTAGATACCACTTTGGGACCTGAAAATTAGGGGTGGCCTCGAGGGGGTTAGGGTTTTTACTTAGTGTTAACAAATTGACGATTGTTATTTGGATAAATAAGTGGTCTCGAATAAGAGGCTCGGAGGGTTAACATTAGTAAATACGTATAAAGTATTACCACAAGACAATACGTGTAACATTTCCATATATATTTACATATATATATAATATATATATATATATATATATATATACATACATATATATATATATATATATAATATGTATAATAATAATACTAATAGTAAGGAACTTGTAATTTCACTCTACAGGCTGTTTCATGCATTAGGCAATCTTCAGGAGTGAAGGGAATTTCAAATTTGACGTATAAGTAGTCATTATGATTACAGGTTTACATTGTACCAAGGTCAATATTAACGATCGCATTTATTTTTCATTGAAAATATAAAAAAAAAAGAAAAATTAAAAAAAAAGTTAACTTAAGGATTTTAAAATATTCAAAAAAACTGTACACTTCAATAAAAAAAATTAAGTTAACTTAAAACACAAACAACGCGATAGGATATGAAGTTTGCGAGAATAATTGGTATACTTGTACTGTATTTTCTGAAGCGCCGTTCGTTTTTGGGGTTGCTACAATCAGCAGTTGGTACATCAGTGGCGTCACGCTCGGGCGCTGACGGAGGGGGTGGGGGGAACGCCAGGGCCCCAAGTGCGAGGGCCTCCCCCCCCCCCCGACATTGTTTAAACAAAATATAATATAAACTATAATACCGTAGTTTCATTCAATGGGGCCCGACAGTTTTAAACAATAAAAGCTGGGTTCTGATGTTTGAGATCATGCGTCTGATTTTGTGATCAATCTGTTTTGCAGATTGATCACACAGTTAATTTTTCAATCTTCAGCAAATTTTAAATAGCATCCAAAATCCTCCTTTTTGGAATGTAAGGAAATAGATAGTGCTTTTCCTTTGTTGGATCGATTGTAACTCCTGATTGTAGCAACCCTAAAACGAATGGCACTTCAGAAATACAGTACAGTATACCAATTATTCTCTCAAACTTTATATCCTATCGTTTTGTTTGTGTTTTAAGTTAACTGTATTGACTTATTTTTTATTTTATTTATTTTTTTTAAGCGTACAGGTTTGGAATATTTTAAAATCCTTAAGGGGTCATCCATTATTTTCATCATTTTCACGCGCGTACAAAATGTACGCTGGGGGGAGGGGGTTGAATGTGTGTGTACGCTTTTCAAAAAGTACAAAAATAACGATTTGGAAATGTTAGCCTACGTTTTTGTACCTAGCAATTCACGAGTAAATGTTAAGTTTATCAATTGTTTATACACAGCGTCACCTTGCATCCCTGATTAACGATGTGTTGGTTAAAGCATTGTGTACTTATAAACAATTTCGAAATACAAGGGAAATGCACTCTAGCCAGGGGCGGATCCAGGATATGAAAGAGGGTGGTTTAAAATGTCTAAAAAAAAAACCAACATTAAAAGGGCCGGTCCTGGGAACTTCCCCCGGAAAATTTGGATTCCTAGATGGCCGGAAATGAGCTTTCCCGACTTCTGAGGAATTTTTAATGACCTTTAATTTCTTCAAAATTCAAGGTTTTCTCCTCTTGAAAAAGATCAGGTAATTTTATCTCATTCTTTAGGCCATTATATAGAGAAAAGAATCTCTGTACTATCTACTAAACATTTAATGAATGAACTTTCTTGTGTTGTGGTCATATTAGACTGTTATATTTTTAAAGAAGACCATTCAGCAAACAACATAAAACAAAATTCCCACGTCGGGGCATGCATAAAACGTATAATTTCCTGAAATTTAAATATAGAGCGGACTTCCTTATGATTTAGGCTTAAGGAAATATAAATGTATACGGGTCTGAACTTTGTAGGTGACAAAGTGTTCTTCCTTGTGTTGTGGTCATATTAGAATATAATATCACTAAAGACCATTCAACAAACAACATGAAACCTAAGGCCTATATCAAACTTTTAGGTTAAAATTTCTGCTTCCGAGCATGCCTATAACGTAATTTTTTAGATGTATATTTTCATGACAGTCGAGAATGTACTGATTATATAACTTATAGATAATTAGATTATGAATATATTATGAATATTCATCGTTTCAAGTATTCCGCTCCACTGTTGTATTATAGCAATCATACCGCCACTTTCGACGTTTACATGAACTATCTGGGGATATTCATCCTAATCCTGGTCCCGGTCCCTCAACGAATACGCATTCAAACAACCGAAATACAGCTTCCACAAGGTCGAAGCCTAGCATGTTATATTTCAACGCAAGTAGTCTTGCAAATAAGTTAAGCGAAATTCAAGTAACAATTTCTACAGAAGCTCCTAGTTTAGTCTTCATAACTGAAACCTGGCTTCATACATCTATATCAGACTCAGAGCTGTTACCCATGCAGCAGTATGCTATCTTCCGTAGAGACAGAAATCGGTGTGGAGGAGGAGTTCTTATTACAAAGATCTTCATACTGTTTCGGCCCATCAGTATGATGTTGATGGAATTGAATTAACATGGTCAATAATTTATACAAAAAAGGGCAAAATCTTAACTGGTTGTTTATACCGTCCTCCTAACGCTAACATTTCAGTTTTTGATAAACTTGAAACATGCATTGATTCCGTACTTGCTGATGTTCACCTTTATCATAGCTTGATTCTTGCTGGTGATTTTAATATTGATAAATTTAGATCATGTAGCTTATACAATAGACTTGCTTCCATTTTAGATATTTTAAATTTTACCCAAATTGTTCCTTTTATAACTAGAAGGCAAAGTGACAGAAGTAATAATGGCATCCTCATTGACCATGTATATATAAATCAAACAGATATCGTTGCTTCTATATTACCTCATCCGGGTATAACAGGCAGTGACCATGACGGTATATTCATTAGGTTTAATATTGCATTTGTAAATCACATAAATGTTGGGGGTTACTTTTTACAATACTCTAAGGTGGATCATTTTATTAAGACATTTTCTGACATCAATTGGGAACCATGTTTTTGTTCGAATGATTTAAATGGGGTGTGGGAGGAGTTTAGGCCCACGTTTCTACATGCTATTCATAATGTTGTTCCTAAGCGTAAATCTAAAAGAAAACCTAAACAGCCCTGGATACCTCATCCGGGTATAACAGGCAGTGACCATGACGGTATATTCATTAGGTTTAATATTGCATTTGTAAATCACATAAATGTTGGGGGTTACTTAATACTCTAAGATAGATGTGGATCATTTTATTAAGACATTTTCTGACATCAATTGGGAACCATGTTTTTGTTCGAATGATTTAAATGGGGTGTGGGAGGAGTTTAGGCCCACGTAAATGGTCACAATATAAAACATGTCTAAACAATTTGAATCATGTATAAGAAAATCTTACCATTGTTATGTTAGAAACTTAGCTGTAAGGTGTAATGACAACGGCAAAGCATTTTGGTCTTTCGTCCGCAGTTCAAGAGCTAAATCAACTGCTCAAAACTTCAAAATAAACAACTCATTGGTTGAAGATCCTGTTTTAAATTCCAAAACTTTTAATGATTATTTCAACTCAAATTTTACAAATGATTCTTTAACTACATTATCTGATGTACAAATTGATTTTTGCAAGAATCACAATGGCCTCCTTCCACTATGTAACATTCAGACCACGCCAACGGAAGTCCTTCAACTCATCAACAAACTAAACACTGATAAGGCACCAGGCCCAGATGGTGTTACATCCACAATGCTCAAAATTTCAGCTATATATATTTGTGAGCCTTTGGCCAAAATATTTAACTTGTCTCTCCAACTGGGTGTATTCCCCTCAGA